GGCGTCCTGCCTTGCCTTGCCTTGCCTGTAGCCTGCTTGGGATGGCTGGACGTAGGCCCCAGGGGCTCACTTAGCCAGGCCCGACTTTCTCTCCCAAATCTCTTCTCTCGCTGGAGAAGTTTTTCCCGCTACGAGAGTTCGGCTGAAGTCTTTGGTCACGAAAACAGTGGCGTCTTGTGGGGGGGGGGAGTAAAGCAGCGTTCCTCTCGAAGGTGGGTCGCCCACCTCCTGGGTAAACAGTCCCGATGTGACGCTTCCTCACTTGCACAACAAGTTATACAAGTGTCGCCGTCAGTCTCCTCTATCTGTGAAGATGGTCTGCCAGGCGTCCTTGAGGGCAGGTTTTGTCTTGGGTTCAAATTCCAGATCTTGCTGAATACCCTAAAGTCTCCACTTTGTGGCAAGTTATGCCACACTGTGCTTTGTTTTTCTTAGCTCTCCTTTTTGTTTTTCTATGCAGCCCAGGGACAAAATGATGCGTGCAATTCAAAATGTAAAGTTGTTTGTTTAAGACTAGAATAGGGCTTTTCCATAGTGAGAAGCTGAGTGCAGTACGTGGTCTCGGTGTGGACGTTTTCTTTTAATATTATTTTTCATCCTGACAGTTGCAGATAAGTGATTTGCAGTCCGTTATTTGTACACAAAATGCTGTAATTTTGTACTGAAAATATGAATTATTTCCCCCTTCCACAATCTGAAGGGATGACATTGCCATACTCTCTTTGCCTGGTATCACTTCCCAGAATGTTATGATTATCAGTGTCAATGCCTTCAGGCTTCTAATTGAAAGTTGACAAGATGTGAATATACTGCATCAATTGTCATGGGCTTAATAGTCTTCAGACCTTGGTACCTTTTTGGTTGGATTACAAAGTACTTTTCAGTATTTGTATTTCATTTGACACCTATTCTGTGAAGCGATTAACTATTCCCATATTTCTGGTGGGGGTTTAAAGCAGGAGGTAGTGAAATAGTGATGCCTCTTGGTTGTGCAATGTCTCTATGGTAGAAATGGCGTATGAAGTTCATGTCCATGCCTATTTCTTTGCCTGTGGGAGTATGCTGTCTGATGTCTAAAATTTAGTATGTAGTTCTGAGCCATGGGTTGGGCTCCTCATGGCTATACACCGTTAAAAGTTTGGAATCATAGAATCTCAACTTTAATTACTACCTGTTAGAGAGTTTCTAGTCACTGGGTTTGTAAACAAAAGTTTTAAAAAAACAACAACAAATCTATGGATGTGGTGTACATAAAAATCTGGTGGTGGTGCTGTGTCAAGGCATGTTTTCAGTAGCAGGCCTTTCTCATATCTTCCAAATCGAATCACTTCTGTTCTTCCAGCCTTAATGACTATATGCATAAATTGTTCTCAATTGCTTAACCTATGAACTCAGTTTTAAAAAAATCACAAAGCTGCAACATATTTTAATCGGGCCAAAATAGAAGAAACAAATATGAGTGTTTCTGATATTCACATAGAATTTGGTTATTTTGATCACAAATCAATTACCATTGTTAAGGCAGGTGAAAAATCCATTTTAGCTAAAATTCAAACCTGCTTGGAAATAAATTTAGTTGAGGTTAATGATGCTCCATTCTGCACAAATGATATTAAGATCACACTATTAAAATTAGTGTACTACAGTATATAATTTATTTTATTTTCTGTGAAGTTTATATTCCATCTTTTCTTGAGGCTGTCAGGTTCAAAAGGGGTTTACATTTTCTTGCCAAGAACAATAGGAGGTAGGTATTATTAGCTTTGAGCTTAGTTCTTAACTAATGAGGTAATGTGTATGCAATAAATATCTTCAGAATGTAATTGGGAATACACTTAATTTGTGTGCTTTCCATGGAAGTGATTTCCATGGATTTCCAAAAGAAAGCATGCCAGAAAGAAAACTAGAGAATTTTATCCTGGTACCTACTTTGCTGTGGGGTGGGACTTATTTTGGCACAGAACAGAACTGTTGTTTGAGTGTCCACTTGCAATCTGCAGTTGTATACTCCCAAGGGAGATTTACCACCTTATCTACATTTTGTGAGTACTCTGCCATTCTCGAGATGACTCCACAGGTTTTAGAACCAAATGGTTATTTTTGCCTGGATTTCTTACATACTGTATATATGTGTTACTCCAGCCACCAGACTCTATTGATTCTCTTTAACATATGCATGGTTAAAAGGTCATGTCATCCATAAGTACCTGCCATGAAATGTGAATTGTCTCTAGATTTCTTCACCCAGTGACATATAAGTTGATATATTGGTATGTAAGATTTGGTACTTTTGAAAAACAAAATTGTATGGCAACTTGGTGCTGTTGTGTACCATGGATCATGTAATTTATCTACTTGTAATGTTAATTAGGAGTTAAAGTGCTTGAGGATATCTAGCAGAATGGGATGCATGGGATGAGAAGTTCCAGAATCTCATTGGTCTGACATTCTGGGAATTGCAGTGTAGAGGAGTAGTTTTTCCAAACTCTGTGTGACTAAAATATTATGATCATATACATAAACAAACTTGCAGTAATGATTATTTTGGTCTTAATTAGTGTTTCAAGTAAGTGACAATAATGGACATGCCGTACACAAGATGATCATAAGGAAGATACCACATGGAGGGAAGAAAAATTCATCTCTTTGGATGTATGTTTTTTTATTTTGGCGTCTAGGATAATGGAGATGAGTATTTTCATTACCCATTTCATAACAGGAAGCAGTCTTATGGCCCCTTGGTTTGTGTAGCCTAGCAATTTTGACATAGACTCCAATATTTTGGGCTGGATTCTTTCATAACCCTGACTTGAGATGCTAGAGATTGAACATGAGACTTTTTGAAGACTCCAGCCTGCTTCCTGTTCTTTCAAGCTTAATTTGTTTCTGTTGCCTCTCATCTGCATTCTCATTCTTGTTTGAATAGTTGTACTGTATAATGGAAAAAATACCTTTCAGTAAAATAGTTTGAAAAATTCATTCTGAACTCTTGTCTTAGTCTTAGAGAACAGTGTTATAACCAATCACCAGTAGCAGGAGGAGGCCTGGTAGTTTTCTCTAAGCATTGGTAGAAACATGTTCTTTACCTTTTCTGGACTATGCACAGGTTTTCAGATTTCCTGTCTGTGCCTCTGAGTAGAGCCAGCCTTGGACAAGCTGCACAGTTTCAGGGCACCCCCTGAAAATGGAATGATTAATCATTTCTGAGCATTTACCAGAGAAATGCTGAAAAGGGTCACCGGAAGTCAGAATTGACTTGACGGCACATAAGAACACTGTTTAGGAAGTACTGCCCATAGGTATGACCAAATTCTCAGGCTTAATTCTTACACTTCTTGTTAAAGGATCTAAATTAGATGCCTTCAGAAGGAACCTGTACTTGAGATACCAGATAGCTGATTTAAGTCTGTGTAGCATGTAGTGGGTGAAGTAGTCTTTCTTATACAGGACACATAGGGCCATTTTGACATGTGTAGAATACAAAAGTTTTCACTTTTCATTTTATACTAAGTTACATCTAGTTTTTGCGATTGCTGATAAAACGCTGGTGAGTGAACAAGTTAGAATCATAATCTATGGTTTGAGCCGACCTTATTTGAACGAACCAGAATTCCATGAGTAGAGGTTAGTGCAGTGGTTCTCAAACTTTTTCAGTTTACGGTTCTCTTGACTTACTGGCCACTGGCTGCAGCTCCCCAATAAGATACTTTGAGGGAAGGAGGGGAAAAGAGATGAAAGGATTCCATGGCGTATGAGAGGATTCTGCAGCACCTCTGGCTGGTTTTGGTGGTACTCTGAGGTGCCATGGCACACAGTTTGGAAACCACTGGGTTTGTAGCTGATGAAGTGAAATCACAGTGTTGATCTCCTCATGGACAGGGCATATATCTCATGGTTAGTAAACAAAAATGTGTTCTGCAAATTGCGTTAAGGAGGGGTAAGGGCTTCTTATATTCAGATTTAAATTGTTCATTGATTATTTAGAACAGTGGTCCCCAACCTTGGGTCACCCAAGTGTTCTTGGGCTGCGACTTCCAGAAGCCTTCACCATCAGCTGTGCTGCCCATGGTTTCTGGGAATTGCAGTCCAAAAACACCTGGGTTACCCCAGGTTGGGAACCACTGATTTAGAATATTCCTTGATCTGTGCTAGTGTGTGCTATGATAGTATCACATTGAAACGCCTTCCATTTTACCCCTCTCTGCCTCTGAAGTGAGAAGGATGCATTATGCATAATGATTTGCATGTGCAAGTTGAAATGTCTTTTAAAGAAAAGACAGAAGGTTTGTGTACACTTGTGATTGGGGCTGAATGTGTCTTTCTGTACTCCACAAGCTTTAGATTCATCTTCTCAGTGAGTGGTACTCGCTTTGATCTTCATTTGAGAGATAATCTATTGAATAGTAGGAGAGTTTTGTGTTTCTTTGTCCAGTGCGGGTTATGAGTTTTAAACCTATTTCCTGGCACTTTTAACCTACTTGTTTCTTAGGTGTATTCTGAAATGGGATAATTGGGCAGAAATAGGTGTTTGGATAGCAGTTCAAATTGGTAAACGTTCCCACAGCGTTCATGGCTGCCTTTTTTAGTTCTCTTCTCAGATGTAAGATAGGTATAACCTTTTGCAGTATTTGCCCGAATAGGCCTCCAGCTGTTCTATGTTTGTATTGTGCGGTGTTTGTTGAAATCACAGCATCTTNCCCCCCCCCCCCAATCACTGGTGTTCTGGGGACTTCCTTTGTTTGTTACACTAATTCAGGAAGAGGTACTGGCTGTACATAGGCCAATGGTGACTCCCTGAATATAGTCACACTCTAGCTCTTATGAACCCAAGCCAGTATGATCAAGGATAATGGGAACTGTAGTGTTAATAGTATCTGGTGTGCACTAGGTTTCCCATCTCAATAAAAGTGAACAAAATCAAACTAAGGTGGCC